GCAGTCCCTGTAACCAGCCGCCCCAAGTTAATTTTACAAGAGACCCTGAGTTACCTTAGTGCATCTGGCTGAAAGAGATGAATCATTATAGGATGAACCTTCTTTCGCTTTCTGTGGTAAGGGCTGAACCAGCCTGTGACGTACCTGAAGACACATGTATATGTGATTAAAACTGAAGAACTAATGCAACAGATGTGAGAGAGAACGCATGATTTCCAAATATGGTATTTTAAGCTAATGAAAGGCAAATGCACAAGGGACCACAGCATGAATTAATCACTCCAGACCATATATCCATCTAGTCATACTTCCAACTTGGATGAATGAAGAGATGAGTTCATTTTCTGCAGTGCATGCTTGTATGTGGAGAAACATTCTAATTGTATTAGAACATGAGTCCCCACCATGGTGCTCAAGGGTACCGTAGTGCCCACTGACACCTTTCCTGGCTAGGGTTGCCAAGTATTTTTTACTCACCAGCAGGGGAGCGTTGCCTCGGTCCGGGAGCCGCCCGTGGACGCGCCGCCAGAATGTCACAGGAAGTGACGCACGGCGTAGAGCACGTTGGGGGCATGGCCCAGATCATCGGGGGGGAAACCATATGGTTTCCCCCCGATGATCTGGGCCACGCCCCCAATGTGAGCGACGTGGCTGCGTCACCTCTGGTGACGCAGCTTCGGGGGGCAGAGTTCCCCCCGGGGCCCGATTCCGCCGCGGCATAAATCGGGCCTCCAAAGCGGGGGTTTCCCTGCCCCCCGCCCCCACTTGGCAGCCCTATTCCTGTTATATCCACTACATTTTTTAGAAAGTGGGTGGGGCTGGGTGGGGCTCCTGCTAAGCAGGGCTTCTGATAGGCCATTGGAGTTCTGATTGGCTGTGTAGCTGCTATCACAATGTTAATTCTATTCTTCCTCTCACTCATCTCTCCCAGTGTGTTTGCAGATTACAACCCAATTATGCTGGAAATACAAGACACTCCTAAAAAAAACAGATGGTCACTGAATACTTCTATTTTAAAGAATGAAACGTTTGTAAGAGAATCCAAAAAAGAATTTCAATTTTTTTAAAAACAAAACAAAACATCCAACCAGAAATTTTCATCAAGACTGTCTGGGAAGCATTCAAAGCCTATGCCAGAGGATGGATGATTAGAGAATCGGCATATGCCAAGAAACAGATGTCAGTAAAATATTTCCAGATCCAAGACCAGATTAGAAAGCAGGAAGAAAAGATGGAACAGGACTTTTCAACTGAACGGACAAAAATTAAACTTACACTCTTGCAACATCAAACTCATTAAGAAAATTTATGTACTACTTTTAGACAATAAGACCCAAGACGAAGTGGTCAAAAATGTTATGATAAAGTGGGCACAAAACTTAGGTTGTAATATTGAGCTGGACCAGTGGTCACAGGTGTGGAATAAAAAAAATAATAATTATAAAAGCAATTTCATATAAGGAAAATATTTATGTTTTATAGATGGTATATTACGCCTGATAAACTGGCTAAATTTTACCCTAATTGCTCAAATGTATGTTGGAAGTGTCAAAATAATGTTGGATCATTTAACCAGATGTGATATGTGATAAAGCAAAAAATATTGGGATTGGATTCATGCAATTTTACAAAATATTTAAAATGTTCTGTACTCTTTGTTCCAGAAATATTTTTGTTGAATACCTTACCTGAAAACTGTAAAAAAATGACTGTTATCTTATACTACATGTGACTACAACTGCTAGAATACTTTATGCTAAATGTTGGAGAAGAACAAAAACACCTTCGAGAGAAGAAATTTTAAGGAAAATTTTGGAAACAGCGGAAATGGACAAATTAACTCTAACTTTGAAAGGGCAACCAGAAACCACATTTGAAAATACATGGTTGAGATTTTATAAGTGGCTGGAAGAATACAATAAGTAAATTATACAGACATTTAACACGTGTTAAGGATATATAAAATACAGTTTTGATATATTTGCAAGTGATATACATAATGATATAAGGGGAAAATATAAATGTATGATAAATTAGGCATGAGTTTGTCAAGAAGGAACTGTAAGAATAATTTTGTTTGTTATGTCTTTAAAATAAAAAAAATTGGACACCTTTCCTGGCATCCACTACATTTTTTAGAAAGTGGGTGGGGCTGGGTGGGGCTCCTGCTAAGCAGGGCTTCTGATAGGCCATTGGCTGTATAGCTGCCGCCACAGTGTTAATTCTATTCTTCCTCTCACTCCTCTTTCCCAGTGTATTTTTTTAATTGCTTCTCTTGTCCCCTACACTTGGCCTTCCTCTATCTGTGTCTGTCTTCACTTCTCATGGCAAACATTTTGTGGTTGTGGCCACTGTTGTGCTCATAATGCTTGGTATCAGAATAAAGAGGCAGCATGGCTTCAGACAGGAGCACAGTTTAATAAGTCCAGTTCTTTCTCTGTCTAGAGCTACAGTGAATACCACTTCCGTTTCCCCTGTTTCTGCCCACACCAAGTCCTAGAGTGGACTAGGGCAATCTAAAACACTGGCCTGGATTGGAGGAAGAGAGTCATCACAACACCACATCCCCACCCTGTGTCAGAATTCTAAAGGTGCCCACAGGTTCAAAAAGGTTGGGGACCCCTGTATTAGAGAGTATTTATTTATCTATTAGATTTATATCCCGCCCTCCCCGAAGGCTCAGGGCGGCTAACAAAGAGGCTCAAGTGCCAAAGTTAAAACAGATAAAAACAGAATAAAACAATACAGTACAAAACACCAAAATATCGGTGCTCTAGATGTCACAGAATCAGTAGTTGCAAATGGGGGTCTGGTAAAAGTTATTAATTCCTCCTAGCAACACAATCATCCCATCTTCATCCAGAAACGTCTCGCACCCCATTTAATATCCGCACAATTGATGGTTGAGGTGCGATGGTGAGGGGTAACGATGGTGAAATAATGGTGGCGGCAGCTTCTATTCAAGAGCCTGGCGGAAGAGCTCCGTCTTGCAGGCCCTGTGGAACTGCGCAAGGTCCCGCAGGGCCTGGATCTCTTCTGGGAGCTTGTTCCACCAGGTAGGAGCCGCCACCGAAAACGCCCTGGCCCTGGTAACAGCAAATTTTATATTCCTGAGGCCTGGGATTACCAGGAGATTTTGACTCCCCGACCGTAGGGCCCTTGGTGGAACATGCAGGGAAAGGCGGTCCCTTAGGTAGACCGGACCCTAGCCATATGAGTATGAGGCCATGGGTAACTATGAGCTTTGCGGCAATTATATTTTATGTAATTATCAGGCATAGGTAACAGCATAAGTTCTTTTTTTGCATTCCCTACCTGTTGTTTTCCAGAAGTTCATCCACTGAGGGTTTGAGGTAGAAAGCTATTTGGGTCACAAGTGAGAGAATTTCACTTCCTGGGAAAGTCCCTGAGATGTCACTGTTCAAGAAGAAAGTCCCTGTAAGCACTTAAGATAAATATCCAGCATATCTAAACTTCGCTCCTGACCCAAACTAACTGTTTTGACAATACTATTACTCACTTTAGAGACTGGAAACAGCTTGTAGAGTTCTTTCCTACTGCTGCCCCATTCTTTTCTGTGGTGTTTTGATAGTTAAATATTTTGTGTGTTTTAATATGTATGTTGCTGCAGTTTAAAATTCAGGTCTCTAGAGGAAGAAAGATGGGTGATTGAAATGTGTTATGACTGGATGGTAGCTGTACCCTGGGGGGCAGAGCTGACTAATTTGGGAAGACGGTTTGTGTGTGACAGGAAAGCAAGCTGAGTGGGTGAGGTGATCTATGTGCTTTGTAGAAGTTATTAGCCTAAGTGGCGAATGAGGAAAATAGACCTTTGTAGCTAGGTCTATTTAAGGTATGTTAGCGAGAGGAGGAGAACTGAAACTATTATGCTTATGAACTATACTGAAACCGCTTTGCTGTTATACTTGTAAATAAACTCTATTTGTGTTTAAATGAACACAGCTGTTTTATTTAGAGCACAGGACCCCCCCCCCCCTTACCTCAGAGCCATCCCCATGCACTGACCATTCTTTCATTCTACCAAATATAACTAAGCCATCCTGTTCTTTGGGTTCAGCTAAGAAGTCTAAGGTGAGAGCCTTCGGTGGCAACAAAAGTAAGCAAGAAATTTTGAGAAAGGCAAGGAGGCAGCATAACGCATGTCATGTCAGAACACTACAGAGAAATGCAATTACAGGTTTTACATATAAGAGATCTCAGAAAAGAAGCAAAATAGTACTTTCCAAACCCCCAAATAACAGAGTTCCACTATTCTTGAAAAACCTTTAAAAAAAGTGGAGAAATGGGTCCGATCTGTGGCAGTGATTTACTAACAAAGCCAACAGGTGTTAATTATACCAGATTGATAAACTTTGAATTAAAGCTTGTGATTACATTTTTGGTTCATCTTCTGACACTATCATGACCAAGAGAGCCCATTCCTTCTTCCACATGCACAGCCCATTCTAAACTATGATTCCCTTAGTCTTGAACCTGTTCACAATTCATAACTTGGAGCTTTTACCTCATGAAAGTGTCTGTTTCCAGACTGGAGATCCCTAAAAGCTTTTTCACATCTTCTTTCACCTTTTCTGAATAGCCACCTTGAGGGATTAAAGGGGGGGGGGGTAAGAGTTAAAGCATGTGAGGGGGGAAAAGTTGTTTTTTCTAAAAAAGAAAATGTAAAGGCTTTAATGAAAATCAATGCTGGCATGGACAGTGAGTTTCCTACCATAAAACAGGCAGATGGGAATTCTAGAATCAGCCTAGTCAAAACTCAACGATGGTTTATATCGTTTCGTTTATATCATTTCATACTGATGGCAAAGTGACATAACCTGTTATTTGCCTGTTTGCATTTGTAAAACCATTGCTCAGTAAGAATTAAAGTATGATGCCAGACTGTTCAGGCCCATAGATCACCATTCAGTGACTCCTAAATGATGAATCAGAACTCACCAGGTAATGGAGGAAAAGGGAAAACAAAAAACTGAGAATGTATTTTCCAGATCAGGGATTAGTACAGATACATGGATCTTGAACTTTGGGGGCAATCTAGAGCTGCTTTGGGTCCCCAGGAAGTGGGGTTTAAATTAAAAAAAATTCAAATTAAACAACTGTTTGAAAATAATGTACAAGTTCTGATCTTACTAAACTTTCAGAGTTTTCATAACACCACTAATGTGCACCTGGCTTAGATCTGACCGAGGAGAGTCATTCTATACCGTTCTTTAGTGCCTGGAGACATATGGCTAATGACGGGATTCCTACAGGCAGAAGCTCACACAGAACAGAGAAGTGGTCATACCTAGAAAAGAGAAAGCCAGACTATTTAGTAAAAGGCAATGTAGGTACGTACTGCAGCAGTGCAGACATTAACACTGGCTTCAGTGACTGGAAGAGCTTTAGTAAAGCACAGCTCTCAAAGCCACAGTTTATGTGAGTACACATTTGCGTGTTCTTTTCTGACCAAAAAGAACTGAGCATCCTAAAAAAAGTTGCACATGAGCATATACTCAATGCAAGTGTTTGGTCTGTTCTCCTAGAATTATATTTTTATATGGGTTGAGATACAGAATGGAAAAGGAATTCTGAATATCAGGAACTTTGGAGAAAGGGATGGGTGAGAAGAGAGATGGTCAACAAATATGGGTAGAAAACAAGAAGTAGGAGAGCAGGAGTAAGAGGAAGCAGTGGTGAAATCAGAAAAATCCTCTTCTAGCTTAAACCTCCCTTTTTAGTTCTGGTGTCAATCAAAAATGTCTCTGCATTTTTAAAGATTCCCCCCCCCCCCCACTATGGTGACAGCTAGATAATGTGTGTACTTATTTTTATTTCAGCTTGAAAATTCCCAGTCTCAGAATTCTTCTTAAGATACTGGGCCCTGTAATTTTTCAGTACATTAATAATACTACAGATATCATAATTACCTGCCGAAGTTGTAATTACCTTTGCCATCCGGTCAGGGCAATTCCTTGGAGGATACCAGCAGGAGTACTCTCAGCCACTTTCAACCATTGTTGGTGATTTTTAAGGTGATGGCCAATAAGTGTTAGGGACTGGTTTACTCCAGTGGCCCCTTTAAAAGCACTAGCCAACCATAGCTTGGGAAAGTTACACTTCTGGTACTTTTCTATGAGAATTGCTGGAAGGCAAAAGAAACAAGATTATCATCAATTGTATAAAGTGTTAAATTGGATGGTAGGATGCCTTGCACACTAGATCCACAGGAAGAAGGTAATGCACTGTATCCCAAGAATAGCTTCCTGATTACCACTGAATTGGAATTCTGAGGCATATAGATTTCTTCTGTTGATGGTGCATTGGATCAGACTTGCCTCCAGTGGAAAATAAATGAATTGTAGACCAAGGATATAGAAAAGGTGGTAATCCTAAATGCTGTTAATGTAGGCAAGCTAGACTTGCATATTTCTATGGATAAGAACATAAGAACATAAGAGACGCCAGTGTTGGATCAGGCCAAAGGCCCATCCAGTCCAACACTCTGTGTCACACAGTGGCCAAAAAGACCAGGGGCCATCAGGAGTTCCACCAGTGGGGTCAGGACATTAGAAGCCCTCCCACTGTTGACCCCCCCCCCCCAAGCACCAAGAAGACAGAGCATCACTTGCCGCAGAGCCCCTATCTATACCTTGTGGCTAATAGCCACTGATGGACCTCTGCTCCATATGCTTATTCTGAGGCAATGCCAAAGACATCTCAGATTTCAACAAGAGAACAGTGGAGTAAGTATCTTTCAGAATATAGTTCACAAACTACTTCATAAGGCTTGCTTGATTTTTTTGGGGGGTATTTTTCATGTGTGCGTGTGCACGAGCATGCGCACGCACCTGGAAGTCATGTCAATTTCTGGTGACTGACCCCTACTGGGGGCCTGGAGGATATTCTGAGTGATGGATGAATAAAGCCTGCCCCCACCTCCTCACTGCTGGTATTCCAAAGAGGTATCCCACTCAAGTACTAGCCAGAGTTGACCCTGCTTAGTTTCTGAGATCTGACAAGATTGGGCTTGCCTGGGCTATTCAGGTCAAAGCAGGTCTGCCTGATTTAAGACCGTTTTTGTCTCATTAAGCCAGTGTGGTGTAGTGGTTAGAGTGCTGTACTAGGACGGAGTAAACCCAGGTTCAGATCCTCACTCAGCCATGAAGCTCACTGGGTGACTTCCGATCAGACTTTCTCTTTCTGCCTGATCTATCTCACAGGGTTGCTGACAGAGGAAAAATTTTATTATAACAAGCTGAGCTCCTACAAATTAAAGAACAAATTATTTTAGACCAATGACTTGGATTAAGAAATAGCCAAATGGGTTAGATGGGTTGTGTGTTATAGCATCAATTAAGAGCCATACTAGACTTGATGGCATTTTCATGGGGATGCTACCTCCACTTTAAAGTAGCTTAAATATAAGGTGAGGTCTCAATCCTAATCAGACCTGCAGAACAGCAGGCAGAGGTGCTCTCATTCCCCAAGCCCACCACCTTTTCAAGTGCTGAAAGTGGCATTAGGAGAGGGGGAGAACAAGAGGAGGAGGAGGAGGAGGGGGAGATTGGCTTTATATCCCGCCCTTCACTACCCAAAGGTGTCTCAGAGCGGCTTACAAACTCCTTTCCCTTCCCCTCCCTACAACATAGTCATGTCAAGTTTGGCCTTAGGCATATAAATTAAATGTTGCATACGTCAGCATTGCCCCCATTTTATATTCACAATAACTCTAAGGTAGGCCTAGATTTAGTGAGTGTAACTAGCTTGCCTGCATCCTGTGTGCTTTATGGCTGAGTACATTCAAACCTCCATCACCCCAATTTAAGACAAAATCAGTGACCTTATTCTTTAATCTACTTCTACCCCTCGTATACAACCATGGTGACTGAAAGACACTTACCAAAACTCACACACTTAAGAAAACACAGCTGTACTACTTCCCCTCAAAACAATATCCTCCTGACGATGTTAACTGCAAAAGCCTTCCCTAAAAATAATGGCTTTGTATTTGTCATGGAACGCAGAGTGAACAGGGACCATCTGCACCTCCTTGGAGAAGACATTTCATAATGCTGGAGCTTCTCAAAAACCAGGATTGTGCTATGGCTATATGGACAGAATCAAAGGGAGGCAACAACCATGAAATGGTCCTGAGAGGACATGTGGTGGAGAACAGGCTCATACAAGTTGTTTAAAAAAGGACATAAAAACAGCACGCCAAGGCAACATTTTTATATAGGTATATTTATAGCACATGTGATGCATAAATTCGGGGAGGCTGAGGCTGGCAGATTGCGTGAGCTCAGGAGTTCTTGACCGCAGTGGGCTATGCCAATCGGGTGTCCGCACTAAGTTCGGCATCACATGCATGACACATGGATTCCAGGCATAGATTCAATTAGAACCTTCTGTCTGATAGTCATCAGCCATCCTCATATTAGGTTTAATTCCTGTTTCCTGTGTGCTATTTTTTAAGGCCTGTGGGAGATACATGGGATTTTGTCCTCAGTGCAAGGTGAGCAGTATACAACAACTTTCTGCTTGCTATCAAAGCCATTGCAACTGGGGAGAAAGGGCTTCCCAAAATCCCAAATGTCCCCCATTTGCCCCCAACAATTTTGTATGCCCCCCCCCAACAATTTGCAGACTGTCCTCCTGGAGGGCTCTGTGTGACCCAATAAAAATCACTGTTCTAAAAATTGCACACTGGCAATAAACTACAGACATGACAATTAACATAATTGCTTTATTAGAAATACTTAACATACTTTTATTTTTCCTTCAAGAGCCCCATACAGATGATTCACCATGTGGGGAGGGATGGCAGGCACAAGCACACTAGCCCCACCCCATCTCTGCACTACTGCCTGATTGTTTGCCAAGTGTGATTGCACGGAGGAAGTGGCTGCGTGCACACCACCTCCTTCCCATTATCACTGAACAAAGCCACCAAGTGATACCAACCTTTACTGCTGACATCAAGATCTGGAGCATAGTCCCAGATCATCAGCTCCACAAGCTGTGCTATCCCAGAATCTGGAAAGAAGTAAAAAATTGAGTGATTATAAGGGGCTTGTGAAGAGAATGGCATATGAAAGATGAAGAAACGGAATCAGTGATCAAGAAAAGAAGCAGAAAATGTCCCCCTCCTCACACAAAAGTTCAACTATGAAGAAGGCAGAGAGAGCTCAGAAGCAGCAGTGTACCAAGAAGACTGGCAGACATTTTTTTTCAAGCAATGCTACAATTCAGTACCAAGCACTCCTATTGCTTCTCCTGTAATTCAGCACAAAATGGAAACTATTTATTTTGGACATGTTTACTCTGCCCTTCTTCTAGAGCGGGGGTGTCGAACTCATTTGTTATGAGGGCCAAATCTCACATAAATGAGATGTTGTTGGGCCAGGCCATTGCACCAAACGTGCAATGGCATTTGGCATAAGTGATGGTGAGAAAGTACCTTACCAAGTCCCCTGAGCCCACCAACGCCGATCCCCTGGAGTACTGGTCACACAAGGCTGTCATCTGGCATGACCTCTCTTGCATGGCTATGTCTCCTCTCCTGCCCTCCCACCAATGTCCAGACCGAGTGGGTGCTCTCCCACCTGGGAAACATTCTCAGCCCCCACTGTTCACACCTGGACCCATTCTCAAGGTCAGCCTCCCTCTCCTGGGCTACCCCTCTTTGGACCTCACAGGGTAATATACAGGTCTCCTGTTCCCCTGTATGTCCCCCCATTCCTCCTCCTCTCTGGGTGATCTGGACTGCAGGCGCTTGGGTGGGAGGATGGCCACCTCTGCCAGGTGGGGTGGATGGGCCCCACACCCAACCCTTTCTCACTGAAACTCCCCCATTGAGAAAACCCTTTACTTTTGCCCTCCAAAGAAAATCTCCTTCACCCAACTCCTACTTCAAGAAACAACAACTACCTCATGAAAGAACACCTACCTCATGGAACAACATACACCTCAGCAAACATCTTCCTTCTGCAAATAACTGCCTGTACAAGCAAGCCCATTTGACTACCCCTTTCCATTGCACTGGTACGATTCACAACAGGTGAGCTCTTAACCTAGGGGTGGACTGTTACCAGAGGATCTATGTTTTGGGGCCCGAGGGGGACTGGGAGCATTGTGGGCATGCCTCGCTTGGTCCCAATGCTTGTCAGGGTCTCTGCCAAGCTGCTGTGGGGTTATGTTGGGGAGCCCCTGTCAAAACTCTGGTGATATCTGCCTTTCTGTCCTTCAAAACATGCCTTTGGAGACTTGGGGGGCTACAAGCATAGCATGGATGCTTGCCTTTCTTCCAGTGTCTGCCTGGGGGGGGGGTCTGCCCAGGTGAGGTTTCCCTGTGAGTTTTGTGTCACTGGCTTGTTCCTCACCTGTTCCATAGACTCCTGTAACTGCAGCTCTTTTCCAGAGACATCGGGGGGGACCTTTTTGAGGGGTCCATAAATAGGAACCCAGAAATGTAATCTGCCCCCAACTTGGAGAGATTGTAGAGGAGCAGGTGGCAGGGTAAAGTTCCCTGTGGGTTTGGTGTGTGTAGCTTGCAGGGGGTCCATTCTATACACTTTTGACTCTGCACCTGAAATTTCCCCCAACAGCACTTTTCTGTGGACATTTTTGGAGGGCTGTCCCTTGGACCCCCTACATCCAATCTGCACATAATTTGGAGGGCATGTATAGGAGAATCAGGGGGAGGTCCCCTCTTGAGTTTGATGTCTCTAGCTTGCACAGGAACCATTCTATACACTCCTGAACCTGCACCTGTCATTTCCCCAGAAAGAACTTTCTCGGGGGCACCTTCTTTGGGGGGTGGCATAATTTGACCTGTAAATCCAATTCTCGCCAAACTTGGAGGGCAGGTAGAAGAGAGTCATCTGGAGATCCCCTGCAAGTTTGATGTCTCTAGCATGCAGAGCAGGGGGAGTGCTCTAGGTAAAGTTTTCCCTTGCTCGAAAGCCAGTTGAATCCGACTTTAGGGATGCGGTGCTCATCTCCATTTCCAAGCCAAAGAGCCAGCGCTGTCCAAAGACGTTTCCGTGGTCACGTGGCCGGCATGACTGGGCGCCAAGGCGCACGGAATACTGTTACCTTCCCACCAAAGCGGTACCTATTTATCTACTTGCAATTTCTTGCTTTCGAACTGCTAGGTTGGCAGGAGCTGGGACCAGAGACGAGAACTCACTCCATCATGTGGCACCCGGGTCTTGAACTGCTGAACTACCGACCTTCCGGCCTGCAGTTCAGTGTCTTAACCACTTGAGCTACCACAGCCCCTTTAGGGAGTGTTCTACAGTGTCACAAACCTCAGTTTATTTGGTGAGTAAAAGTTTGTGGTGGTTCTTGTCTCACAAACTGGGCCCACCACAAACCGAAACAAACTGCATTCTCCTGAACCCCATTTTCCTGGTTCGTGCCCATCCCTACAAATGTCTACTTTTTTGAAAAGTGTTATTTTTAAATGGTGATGCTGCACCTTATTGGCATTTCAAAAATCATTTCTCTGTAACACAAAGCATTTATTAAGCTACATTTAGATTTGAGTCCCATAGCACCTTACAGACCTACAAGATTTTTGGAGTATAAGTTTTCAAGAGTCAAAACTTTCTTTGTCAGGTATCTGATGAAGAGAACTTTGACTCTCAGAAGCTTACACCCCAAAATCTTGTTAGTCTCTACAGTAATACTGGACTTGAATCTAGCTGTTCTACCGGAGACCACTCTCTGAAATTAAGCTACATTTGAAACTGTAGTGAATTTTTATTCCGCTCCTCTCAGAAATTAACAATGAGGCATTCACTGGCTTATTTGGAGCACAAGGGTGTTTCAGAAATGCAGTTAGAATGGGAAAACCTTTCTCCAGTAACATACCTCTCAATGTTTCTTCATTCAATCCCCTTAGCATGTCGTCCCATACAATGGGTTTCACTGTGGGGTGAGCTGAGACCACATAGCTAGCCACTGCTTTCAAGTGGGCCAGGCATAGCTTTTCAGTGGTATTTTCTTCTTGCTGTAGCCACTTTTTGGACTCCTCCCCTTCACCAAGATAATAAACCTGGAGTGGCCACCCAAGACAAGTTTCAGTTACTATTACTCTGATGATCTTCAGCATTGCACAATTCTTTCACAATGTGCTAGACACAGTTGCAGTGAGAAAAGAAAGTGGTGAGGTTCTCACAAGGAAATAACTGCCAGTCACAGTAGACAAAGCCAAGCTATATATGCCAATGGTCTAATTCAATATGCAACAGTTGCCTACATTCTCCAAGTGTGGCCCTACCATATGCTAAATGGTCATACCCATAGTCCCCAAGAGAATGCAAATGACAGGGCCAGTTTCTACATCTGAATCCTGCTAGCATAATTCATTCAATTGCACATACAGGTACAATTAACTGCTTCAGGTTTTAAAGTCAAATGATATTGCATTATCTGACAAAGTCAATGGCACAAAACCAGGAAAGACAGACAGGCTATCATTTTTAAAGAATCTGAGGGGGGCGCACCACCACTCATTTCTGCCTTCTTTATTTGGCCAAAGTCCTCTTTCTTCTCAGTGGTTTAGAGACAGAAGTTGCTGTAAAAGGAGAAGGAAACTGCAAGAGAATTTCACTTGGCTCCCCCCCCCACCCCCCCCCCCAGTCAGTAAAAACATCAAGCACACTACTAGAAATGCCAGTCTCTAGGTGGGACCTGGAGATTTGCCAGAATTACAACTCATCTCCAGACTACAAAGATCATTTTCCCTGGAGAAAATGGATGTTTTGTAGGGTGGACTCTAAGGCATTGTGCCTCACTGATGTCCCTGTCCTCCCTAGGCTCCAGCCCCAAATCTCTAGATGTTTCCCAACCTGGATCTGGCAACCCTACCCCACTGCTGGTGGTCAGAGAGGACCTGGCAACCCTACCCACTACAGTAATGCCAAAAAAAATTTAAACTAGCGGTAAAGTTACCACATGATGATAACATTATTAATATTGTAAAGTTTACTGTGGGATTGTAGAATCTAGCATCCCATCATTCCCAAGGATGGCATTCCAGCTACAAGGGAACAATAAGAGTGTAGCAACAGGAAGTGGCTGACTTCCATGGCTCTCACAAGGTAAAAGTTGTTGTGGTTACTGCAGAACAGTTTCAGCCCCGTGGGTCACACTATACCTCATCACAGCCAATGTGAAACCATCGAAGTTCTTCATGCAGTGCTAACACTTGGTCTATCATTCCGCTGACCAAACTCAAGGATTCCTCTTTATGTGGGTTCACAGTGTTTGGAAACATTTCCACTTCCCGCAGGTGGCGGAACTCTTTGTGCTTCAGGACAAACTGCAGGAGAAGCAAGAACTAGTGGATGCAGCCTGAAGCGGGAATACAGCCCCATATATCTCCACATTTATGTAAGATTTTCCAATATAAAAATAACAGATAAAAACATCAAATTATGCTGCTCCAGTGAAAAAATGGGTACTGTAAAAACTGTAGAAATCTGCAGGGCTACAAATGTAGAATCCATCTGTTTAATCCAAGACCTGATAATCTTTGCAGTAATAAAGAAAGCTTATTAAAAGGAATGCTAGTATAAGTGTGTAAATCGAACTCCAGTAGCAAACCAGGGCTATTTTTGGGCAGGAACGCACAGGAACGAAGTTACGGCTGGCTCCCAAGCCGGCCACGCCCAGCAGGAACTCATTAGCATAATAGGCCACACCCAACAGCAGAAACTCATTAGGATTGGCTACATTAGGGGTGTGTGGCCTAACATGCAAAGGAGTTCCTGCTACAAAAAAAGTCCTGGGTTTTGACAACAAACAAGGTAAACAGAATAACAAGCAAAAGGTGGGTGTGGCTGGATAACCACACTTCTGGTAACATGTGCTAATGAGCTGTGCTGGCAGGGTGTGGCCTAATATGCTAATGAGTTTCTGGTGTTGGGTGTGGCCTATTATGCTAATGAGTTCCTGCTGGGCTTTTTCTACAAAAAGAGCCCTGCAAAAGACCATGTATCTATATGATGGGTTGGAGGAGGGAAATAGCCAGACTATGCAAAGAAATAAATGAAATGTTAAAAGGTCAGGAAATAACGTAGGAATATAGGGATTAGGAGAGGAAGGTTGTGCCTTTTATCAGCTGTGATGTGATGCCACATCACATGAAAAAATCAGAATAAGAATTTATTCCAACTATAAATATGAGTTTCTGTTTGCAAAAAGGAGGGGGAAGAAGAGATTAGATTTGTAAACCACTCAGAGTGGTTTACAATCTCCTTCCCTTCCTCTCCCCACAATAGACACCCTGTGAGGTAGGTGGGGCTGAAAGAGCTCTAAAAGAACTGCTTTTGAGAGAACAACTCTGAGGGAATTTATGACTGACCCAAGGTCACTCAGCACAAGCAGCTGTATGTGGAGGAGTGGGGAATCAAACCTGGTTCTTCAGATTAGATTCCACAGCTCTTAACCACTACACCAAACTGGTGTACTTTCCACTACCTCCTAAACCTTGTAGTGCCTCTGCAAGGATCAAGACCAGGTGTCTGGATTTTTATAGCACACACCCAGCTATTAGGAAGACAAAGAAATCTCACTTACCATCTCACTATAGGGCTGTGATATCTCTTACACACATCTGTCCTCAAAGAAAATAAATATGTTTAGTCACTACACTCACCTCCATGTGTCCAAAGGTCTGTACCAGAGGGATAACCTCTAACTCGTGCAAGTTTGCCAGGTTTATAATCTCTTTAATCTCAGATGGACTAGGGGGGGAAAAACCCAGAAATTAGTTATCATTGCTGTATTTCAACATCAAATGGTCAATTTACTTTGCCTTCCTTATTTTGTAACAATTATCCTGTATCCCGTTAAGAAGCAGGTACCAATTAGCTTGTATGATTTTTTTCCCTTAAGCTAAGTGACCACAGAGACTTCAAAAGGATCTATATAGATAATGCCCTCTGAGTACAGTTGCCAGCTCTGGGCCGGGAAAATCCTGGAGATCTGGGGTTGGAGCCTGGAGATGGGAGGGAGTCTACGGTTGCCAGCTCAGGGTTGGGAAATGCCTGGAGATTTTAGGAGTGGAGCCTGGGGAGGGACCTTAGCAAGATACAATGCCGTAGATTCCACTCTCCAAAGCAACCGTTTTCTCCAGGGAAACTGATCTTGGTTGCCTGGAGATCTCCTGTAATAGCAGGAGATCTCCGGTGCCACTTGGAGGTTGGCAATCCTACTCTGAGAGGGCAATGTTATCTGCAACACTACAATATGTATAAGTGTACTTATAAATATGTATTTATATTATATATATATACTATTTATAATATATGATATTACATTTAATTTTGTGCCGGAAAAGTAGATGGAGAAACTCAGCAAGTTAATGATCTTTTATTGAAAAAAGAAATGAGGCTTCTCATTAGACAAGATAAGAAATAGAAAGAAGTACAAATTAACCCTATAAGTACTACAAAAATGCAAAGAAAACCAGGCTCCCTAGCATTTCTCAAGCATCACTTAATATATAATCTTTAAAGTAAAGCAAATTTCAAATAACTATCTCTAAATGTTTTAGGAAGCTTTGGAAGCCCAATAAACATACACATCCCACCTAGAATCCTCCTCTTGAGAATTCCGTCAACGGAATCCTGTTCAGCTCTCTGAATTATGCATTTTATAGATAAGGTGACAGCCACTAATTTAGATATATCATTAGACATTTATCATATGATAATTATATAGAGAAGTGGTTCTCAAAATGATTTTATGAGATCATTCACAGCTGCACAGAGGTGTAGCTGATAATGTTCATCAGCTGTTCAAGCAAGATTTTTAAAAGGCTATATGTATAACAGAGATAATTAAAAGGCAATGATTCTACTTTTCTTGAGCTATGTTCATTGGTTGTCAAAGATTAAAGAGATCCTATTCTTTCTCTGACCAGTTGGTGAACTTTCTTCAAAAGTTCTGAAAACTGTATCAGAACATACATGATTAGCACATACATCATAAGACTGCCTTTTCAAATTCCACCCCTCTATTCTGGATGAATCATTCCGGAATAACTACTACCTGACTGGTTTTATGCTCACAAAAACCAACAGAAGCTAGAATGATCACTCTACACAAACAAGTTTCTAAAGCATCAAAGTGTTTAAGTCACCTGCTTATCCCCCACTCCACAGTATATTTATTTATTTATTTTTATTTATGACATTTATACCCCGCCCTCCCCGCGAACGGGCTCAGGGCGGCTCACATTAGGCACCAAGTGCGTTCAATATACAATTACATAGTATAAAATACAGAATTAAAATTTAAAACAACTTAAAATCAATCCAGCGGATGCACATATAAACTAACATCTTGTGCAGCGGGGGGGGGGGGGCTGGGGGGGATGGGAAGATGTTACTCCACCACCCCAGTGGTCTCTCTCTATAAAGAGCAGTGGTGGAAGTGGCTGTGACGGCTCCTACTCATAAGCCTGGCGGAAGAGCTCCATCTTGCAGGCCCTGCGGAACTGCGCAAGGTCCCGCAGGGCCCTGATCTCCTCCGGGAGCTCATTCCACCAGGTAGGAGCCACCACTGAAAAAGACCTGGCCCTTGTTGCAACAAGCTTGGCCTCCTTAGGGCCTGGGGTCACCACCTGGTGTTGCGACCCTGACCGAAGTGCTCTTTGGGGAATATATGGGGAAATATATTTTATAGTATAGAAGGGTTGCACAAATGTGTTAAGATTAATTAATTTCAGATTACACCAAGAAAGCATTTATCTATACTGTCATCATGTTTGGTTCTCACTATATATTCTCATAATCATTATTCAGGCTGGACTTTGCAAATTTATGAACCTTTCAAGATTTCCAATGCAGCTTCTGAACTAAACAAGTCTCTAATTCTGCTTATTTGAAACAGACACCCAACTACAATTAGAACATCCCATTTATTTATTTACCTGTAGGCATCATTTGCTTGGAGTGGCTTCAGCTCTCCATTATAAGGAAACATATCTTCATACTCAAGGAGAATCCCATTTGCCCCCAGCTCATGGAACAAAGGGAAGATCTGTTGGATTCATAAAACATTTCAAATCTATAGCCAGTGTGGATTGATAAAACTTGATTTCATGAGACTGAAGGAGCAAGCCTAAGCAGGCTTACTCAGAAGTCAGTCCCATGCTATTCAATGGGGCTTACTCCCAGGAAAGTGTCTTTAGGATTGCAGCCATGATCTCCATAGGGAACACCTAAAAATGCACACTAAAGCCTCTTGCTTCTGGTCTTGAGGGAAAATATATTTTTCTCCAGGATGCCTTTGTAGATGTCTGAAGCCAGGAGAGAGTCTAAGGGGCGTACAGTTTGATATTGTATTGTGAATTAACTGAATATTTGTGATTCTGTATACTATTTTTTATTATGTTAACCACCTTAGCATTCACAGTGTAAGGAAAGAAAAATGCATATATACTTTACATCCCAGCCTGCATGATGCTTAAGTGAAGTGCAGCATGTCCCACCATAAGGAAGTCTACTATCAAACCTCAATCCTGCTCGTTCCTTTTGTGCAGAGTAAATTGGGTTCCAGCTACAGTTGCCAACCTTCAGGTTAGGCCTGGAGATCTCCCAGAAGTACAACTGATCTGTAGACAACAGCAATCAGTTCCTCCGGAGAAAATGGCTGCTTTGGAGAGTGGGCTGTATGGCATTATGCCCCCCTAAGGACCCTCCCCTCCCCAAACCCCACCCTCCCCAGTCTCCACCCCCAAATCTCCAGAAATTTCCCAACCCAGAGTCGGTAACCCTAGTTCCAGCACACCATCAGCACCTCTGTAAAGTAAGAATACAAAACAGCTCTTCAGAACAATCTCATCCTTTAAAATGAGTTACACTGTAGAAAGGATATACAAAACACTGGCCCCGGTCACACGGGCTGGATATCGTGGGGGGAGGCATGGCTAATTGCCCCGGCGCAGTTTGATCTGCGATTACGCGATCAGACGGGCCGGTGGCACACCACGGGTCCTTTCCTCGGCGCCAGCGGGTAAACGAGGGACCGAAGGGGAATGCCACGTGCCGGCAGGATCACACCACGGGCGTCCGGAGGCAGCCGTGGCAAACGTTTACTAGTACCTTGGAGGTACTAGTTTTTAAATGTGCATTGTCAGTGGTAAGCCACGGGTACGCTCCACTTCCCAGATGTTGGGGTGTGATCACGCCTGGATAATCCGCCCACCTTCCGTGCCTCTCCTGTGGCAACTTTGCCGTGTGACCGGGGCCACAATCAGGCAGCATCAGATATGGGACTGTTAACTTCTTTCACACTAGTTGAGCAAAACTGAAGCACAGATTTCTTCCATTTAAAATGATTACTTCCAAAATGGATCTGAAACTTTTCTCTGAAACAAACCAAAATCAAAAGAGTTCCAAACTCCTGGTTACACAGATCAAATTTACATTACCTCTGCTAGGTATGAGACCTTTGGTGGAGCTCCCTTAAGATCCAAGTGCACTAAACGAAGTTCAAATGGAGAAGAACCCATCACTTTGTTTTCTTCCATGCTTCCTGCAGCATAACTGTAAGAAGTAAAATCAAGTGTTATACCTGGAGCAGTAGCATAATTAGAGACAGGATCATTTCCTCACATAATGAAGATCTAAGAAATGGAAACACCTTTGCTGCCTTTCCAAATTTAGGTGGCATAGTGAAGAGAATGTGTGGACTGGGATGAAGCAAAATTCTGCAGTCTCCTACCTTGATCCGAACAGCTTCCACAGATGTCAACATAACTTCACTCAAATGCAAAACACCTAGACTTCAGATTTATAACTGTATAGCTGAAAGTTGTCTTAAACCCTGCACTGCCCTAACAGTAGAGATTTACCATACCTACATTGATTATACTCAAGTCATCAATAATGAATGCTATTTTGCAGCAATTAAAAGCAAACAGGCAATAAGATTACCAACACCCCTAAGATATGATAATTTGCAGACAAATGCTAGGATTTTAAGACGACAATCCTATGCACACTTGCTTGGGAGGAAGCCTGCCTAGATTTGCAGCCTTGAGATTGCAGGATGAAAATACATACCATTACTGACTCCTAATCTTGGATTTCTTTCTTTCTTTTTAAAAATCGAGTGGCAATTGCCCATTCAGTGTCACAACAACTAGGCGCCTGTTGCATTCAGACACCTCATACCAGCAGGAGGCAACTGAGAAGACTCCCCCAATTCCTGTGCAACAATCGCGGCTGTGAAGGAAGCACAAATTCAAACTTTACTTGAAGGCACCGCCTGGCAGCTTTCGCACACGTCACCCCTCTTCCTGTTAGACATGGACCAGATGCAACAGGACAAACCAAAGGAAAAAAATAATGACATCGATTTATTGCCTCTGGAATTCAAATTACTGAGGCCTCAGTATCTTTTAGCCTCTGCTGCTCTGGGTGAAGATCTACGACTACAACTACTACCCCCCCCCCCCCCGCCCCGGAAATGCAAATGTCTGGGCTTTTTAAACTTCCCAGTGAGTCCCATCCGTCTCTTTTTCAGGGCGCCTGCTCTTCCCCCCGCGACTCTCCCTCGCGTTCTTCTCCGTCTCCAAACTCGATTGTACTAGTCTCTCCTACCACCCAGCTCTCTTTCTCCGATATCGTTTTCTCCTGCCTGATGATCCCTCAACTGCTTCCGCTTTGGGCAACGGAGATGCTCATTGGCCGCCGACCGCTGCTTATTTCCCTGCCTGCGTGTAGTGGTCGCCTAGTGTTGCATCGCTGTCAGCTGGTTAACGCGATGGCGCCTCAGCGGCGGGCTGGTTCTAGGACTGCAGAGAGCGGCAGCGCTGGCATGGAGGCTCGGGCAGAGGCGCGCCGGCGACTTAGCAGGTACCGTCGTTGGGCAGAGGAAGCGCATCCCGCTGAGAGGCAGTGCTCGCCCTTGTTTCCAAGGAGGCGGCTGTGCGAGCATGTCAGGGACTCTCTGGCTACACTGCTGTGATGCACACAGGCTTGGGGGTAAAGAGACCCTGTTGAATTCAGTAGGAAAACCACGAAGTAAAGCCTGTGCAGCATCGGGTTGCGTGTATTTTATTATCTTTTTTTCACCCCGGGGCAGGGGTTTAGGTGAGACGGACGGGACTCAAATCAGTCTGCTTCCCTCGATTATGCTAGGTATCCAAGTGTGGTCGCCCCCCACGACTTCTCACACAGGCTGAAAAGGTGAAGTCTTTAAGTCAGGCTTTGCATCAGAAGATTAGGCAGGCAGATCTAATCCTGTTCATTTAACAAAAAATTCGTTTTCAGTATCATCACAGAGTAATTGAAGCAGTAGGAAACTCTAAATCGATGTTGACCAGGGGTTTCCCCCATTTACTTGGAAGGACTGTTTTAGACATACAACAGAACAAGGTGGTGAAGTGCCGAGGTGGTAGCATGGACTACCACTCCAGGCTGCGGATGAAGGAATGTTCAATTTTCCTATGTTAATGAAGAAGAGATTGGATTTATACCCCGCCCTTCACTACCCAAAGGAGTGTCAGAGCAGTTTACAATCTCCTTTCCCCTCCCCTCCCCTCCCCACCCCGCCCCACAACAGACACTCTGGCTGTGTTCACAGGGGCAGTTTAATCCGCTATTTTTAAAAAAAGGTAAAGGTTCCCTTGCTCGAAAGCCAGTCGAATCCAACTCTAGGGTTGCGGGTGCACATCTCCGTTTCAAAGCCGAAGAGCCAGCGCTGTCTGAAGATTTTTCCGTGGTCATGTGGCCGGCATGACTAAACACCAAGGCGCACGGAACGCTGTTACTTTCCCACCGAAGTGGTACCTATTTATCTACTTGCAATTTCTTGCTTTCGAACTGCTAGGTTGGCAGGAGCTGGAACTAGAGATGGGAGCTCACTCCATCATGTGGCACCCGGGTCTCGAACTGCTGAACTACTGACCTTCCACAGCCTGCAGTTCAGCGTCTTAACCACTTGAGCCACCGCAGCTCTGCTATTGCCCTGCCTCAGATTAAGCCAGGTTATTTTGTGGCAGAGAATCCTGACCAGACTCACCCGTTTTAGCACGCTTCAGTGCCAATTTACTCCTCCTTGCATGACCAGACGGCAGAAAGCAGGGAGTCAGCCTGTCAGTCATTTTTTTAGAAGTTTGCCCTTAGGAGCATGCCCAGAAGCACTCATCATGCTGGGATATGGAGTTCGTGGGGCTGTCCGCCATTTTCTTTTGCAATTAAGACCATAGAGCAAATCGCATGAGTGGTGAAGAGACTGCTGGGAAATGGAGTCCGCTGCCGTCTTCCCTCTAATTTTTTCCATTTACCCCTTCCCTAACTACAGAAAAAGGGGTGTCTTTCTTTGAGAGTTTTTCAAAAGAAAACAAGGTTTTGAGCAGCGGGGGTGGGGGGGGAGAGGTGCATATATACAGTCATGCGATCCTAAAAGTGGCTCAGACCAACAGGACTGGACTTTATCAGGTATCAAAAAAAACACGGGGCAAGTGGAGGGGGGAATGGAACTCAGATGACTCTGGCACGACAGACAGATGTTGCTCTCTGATCGTGCACTTTAAATCCATGAGGGAACAGCAAGGGGAACAGATCAAATTGCCAGTGTGAACGCAGCTGCTGTGAGGTAGGTGGGACTGAGAGAGCTGTTTCAAGAACTGCTGAGAGAACAGCTCTGAATGAACTTGTAACTGACCCAAGATCACACCAGCAGCTGCATGTGGAGGAGTGGGGAATCAAACCCGGTTCTCCCAGATTAGAATCTGTGCTCCTAACCACTACACCAAACTGGCTCTAACTTCTAGTAAGTAAAAAAGTAATAAAGATCAGGCCTGTAGCACAGCATGCAAAAGGCTAGGCTTAAAACCATTTCCTCTGATGCTCTGGGTTTTTTGTTTGTGAGAAACTTTTATTTTGGGGCACCATTAAAATATGTTTTCTGCCACCTGCAATCTAAAGTGATCTAGCCTAGTCTGTCCTCTCTGGATGTTCCCGCTTCATTACTGCTCTATGCCTAGGTCAGGCCTGAGTTCAACAGGGCTTTTCTTAAGTTAAGCATGTGTGTGTCAGGTTACTTTTGATCAGTGGGGTGTTTCAAACCATGCAGTTCCTCTGATGCAGTGCCATTTCTGTGAGCAGAAGATTGGTTGGCAATTTTTGCTGATTCCTACCTCTCACAGCAGACCCTCATTTTGTCTTCTGTGCTGTTTTTGAGCATCCCACTGACCCCCAGGAACAGCATGGGGGGGGGGGAGTTTATTTCACTGCAGCAGAAGGGTGAAATGGGAAAGTCCTATTCTGTGAAGCCTGCATGTAGTTAAATACATCCAAATATTATTATTTTGCTTCTCAATCAAAGGCTGTCTCTTAAAACTGGATGCAAGCACAGTAGAAGGGTGATTAGCTGCCAGATGTCCTCCCTCTGGTATCTCATCAGTGATAGTTGGGAACTCGGGGAAGGGGAACTCAGTGGGAACTCAGTGATAGTTGGGAACTCGGGGAAGGGGAGCTCTCAGATATAGGCACAGTGAAAAGATGTCTCTTGTCATGTGAAAAGATGAAGCCATATCTCTGGCACAGCTGTTCTTGAAAAAGAGCCGTTTCTGACAGAGCTCTCTCAGCCCCACCTACCTCACAGGGTGTCTGTTGTGGGGAGGGGAAGGGAAAGGAGTTTGTAAGCCGCTCTGAGACTCCTTTGGGTAGTGAAGGGCGGGGTACAAATCCAATTTCTTCTCCTCCTCTCCTCCTTTTATTATTATAATATGACATCATGCAGGGGTTGCTGTGTGTTCTAATTGAATCTGCTTAATTTGCTTTATGTTTATCTGTGCAGGTATTAAGTGTGGTGATGGGTAGTACTGTAGGTAATACTGTAGGTAAATTTCTTCTTCCTGCTGTAAGTAAGTTTTGACAGCTGGGTCAGTGGCTGCATTGGGCATAATGCTGCCTTGAAAAACTTTGAATTGCAGCATGTTCACTGTGCGTTAATACATCTGAGAGTACTTTATGGGTCTGTATGTGTTAGGTTTTGCTGTGGATACTTATTCTGGCATGAATTTCACATTTCTGTAACAAGCTGGTCAGCATTTGCTCTTCTTTGGGAGTATTTATTTTTCTTTGGTAATGCTTGCTTGGTGACTTCTGCCTTGGTGGTGTCCCTCTATCATGGGGAAACTACCTGTGTAGCTTTTCTACCAACTGTATTGTTTAGAGGGAATGGAGGTGGAGCACAGGTATTCAGATTCTCTGTGGAATTTAGAGATGTGAATATTGATGGCTAACTTACCAATGTAGAGAGAAATACAAGGGACTGATCTATTAACATCTTCAGAGTATGTCGTCATATCTGAGGCTGAGCAAGGGCTTAGCTGCACCATGTGAATAAGGCATGAACTGAAGGTGTGTATATCAAGCCTTGATCTAGGGTGCATTTGCAGCTGGCTTCTGGTATTTGGGTCCACCTTCTTCTGGGCAGCTGTGCAGTGCCTACCTGTGGTTAGAGGAGTGTGAAATATGAGTTGATGTGAAACAGTCCCCTTCGAGTCTTTATAGTGTGGTCCAACTTTACATTAAATCATATACATTTTAAATGTGTCTGGGTTCACTTGTGTAGCCTACCAGCCTTTCTGCTAGAGTAACCCTCAGAGCTAGATCTTCAACAAACTCTTAGATTACAAAATGCATGTGGCAGTTTGCATATTTGTGCAATTCTGCAGGGCCTGTAAGGCAGAGATGTTCCGCCAGGCTTTTTGTTGAGGGCAGCGGTTGGTTGCACTTGCTGGCACCCTTTCCCTCTCTCCCCTATATATATTTTGCTTAAGTTTCCATCTCCCTCTCCCATCAAATGGCCGGGCAGTCCAGAATGGGAACAGAAAATTATGGATTGCCATCTGGGATATTTTATTCGGGTTTTATTTTTTAATGACTGTATACAGATATTTTAAAATTTGTATTTGTTTTATAGCATTTTGCCTTTTGTACATTGCCCAGAGCTTGGTGTAAGCTGGGATAGGGTGATTGATTAATGGAAATAATAATAATTTAAAGCTGTTTTCATATTACTTTTTTGTTTGTTTTAGTGTTATCAAAGGAAATAGTCAAAAGGTTTCTCACCAGAAGTGGCTGAAAGTGGCATTCCTTCTCTCCTCTGTTGTGCTGGGCTGTCTTCTGAGTGGTAGCTATTTCTTCAGTGAAGAAGGAGTTACAGAAGTACTGGGTCATTACGGAGAAATCATAGAGGACAGATTTATCGAGGTACCCTGTTCAGAGGACTATGACAGCCACAAACGTTTTGAAGGTATTTGCATGTGACCTGTGTTCTGAAGGAACCTATCTGTCTGGCTTTGGTGCCAAAAGGCAGCCAAATATTAACTCTAAATTAAGTCTTTTGTCTCTGCAGGAGCAATTGTTATTTTTTTTCTCTTTGTGTTTTCACCATCCCAGTTAAGCAATGAATGAGAAAGTGCTATGTGGGTTAAGTCTATTACTTTCTCCTCATGCCTGCTGTCTCCTGCCTTAGGCTTTCTTGGGATTCATTTTGCTTCTTCTAGAAGGTACCAAAGTAATTATTCTAGGAATAGCAGAATTCAGCTTCCAAGTGTGAAATGGTGTCCATTACAGAATCCAGAGATTTCTTTTTTTAAAGTTCTAATTCCTGATAAAATCCCAGGAAGTGGAATAAATGGTCTTGCGAGGGGAGGTCATAGGAGCTGGAGGGGAAACCTCTTTTGCGGCTCATTGTTCTACATAGCTACTTGCCCAAGGGTACTTTCTATACTTTAAGATTGCTTAGATGACAGTATTCCTGATGTGTATTGAACCTGGGCAAGTTAGCATTGTTTATTGCCAGAACTGTTCCATTTGGTTTGAAAGTGATTGTTTCCTTTTACACATGGGAACATATGAAGCTGTCTGAAACAAATTCAGACCATTTGCCTATCTAACTCAGTATTGTCTCCCACGGTCTTGTACAGAAATGGGTGTTTCCCAACACTTGCTACCTGAGATCCTTTAGCTGGAGATGCCAGAGTGTACCTGGGATTTTCTGCATACAAAACATGTTGGCTGCACATTGTTATTGTGAGGATAAAATGGAGAAAAGGAGAACAATGTAAGCTGCTTTGGGACCCCATTTGGGAGACATGTGGGGTATAAATGAAGTAAACAAACACATTATCCATGTTCAGAGAGAGGCAAGATCAAAAATCCATAATAAGAGAAATCTTGATAGTGTAAGTTTGAAGCTGTGGTTATGGTAAGCAATCTGAGTACCTGCATTTAATGGGTCAGAAGCTAATAATAATAGTAATCCAACACCAAAGCTGCCTTGAATTTGCATATTTAACATGGTGTATAAATATCTTACATAAATAAACTCTTTGATGATATGTGCTTATTATTAATACTGTTAGGACTCGTGGGGATCTTAAAAGTAGAATCATAGAGTTGGAGGGGACCTCCAGGGTCTCTAGCCCAACTCCCTGCATAATGCAGGAAATTCAGAAATAATCCCACACACACACACACAGTGACCCCTGCTCCCCAGAAGAGGGCAAAAAAACCTCCGGGATCACTGGCCAAATTGGCCTGGAGAAAAATTGCTGCCTGACCCCAAAGTGACAATCAGCATTTTCCTGGGTGTATAAGAAAGGGCCACGAGAACTAAGCACTGATGCAATCCTTCCTGCCCTCCCTTCTCATGATCTGCCTAAATTCACAGAATCTGCATTGCTGTCAGGTGGCCCTCTAGCCTCTGTCTGAAAACCTCCAAAGAAGGAGAGCCCACCACCTCCTGAGGAAGCCTGTTCCACTGAGGAACTGCTCTGTCAGGAAGTTTTTCCTAATGTTTAGCTGAAAACTCTTTTGATTTAATTTTAACCCCTTGGTTCTGGTACCATGTGTTATTACCAGACATTGTACAGCCAGTGTGGTGGTGGTGTTAGAGTGTAAGCCTGAGATCTGGGAGACCCAGGGTTGACTCACCAGTCTGCCATGAAAGCTTACTAGGTGACTTGTTCTCTCAGCCTTATCCACTTGTCAGAGTTGTCATTGTGAGGAGAAAACCGAGAAGGAGAGAATGAATTTTTAAAGAGAATAGCCAAGCTTCTAGTCAGTCCCAGCATTTGCCAACACCCATGTTGCATATGGGGTAAGACTTGTTGCATCACATATACCCAGTCAGTTGTTATGGAGATAGGTGGTTCTTTAATAATAGTAGCATTAACTGTCCCAGGAACTCACAGTCCAAAAGAGAATCCTGGAATTATGGATAAGGCAGGGAAGATCACCGAGTCTGAAGGGCATTTCTTAACCGCATAGTCTAGTCTTGTTTTGAACTAATAAGCTGTTTCACACTAGAATTACCAGTAAAACGAAAAGCATACTTTGGGGGGGGGGGGATCATTGTTAACACTTATTTTCTTCTGCTTTTCCACTCTGATAGAGCTTTCTGAAATCTCCACTTGAGGGCATTCTTGAGATGCTCATTCTGATGATCCTTCTCTCTTCTCTAATTTGACGTTTGCCATGGATTTAGGCAGGATTTTGGTTAGCTGTATACAGTATATGTTATGTCTCACTTCGGTTATTGCTTCGGTTTGATCCTGCTTAGTGCTCCTGAGGAGTCCGTTGGAACTTTTCTCCTGCCTGTTTTGTGATCCGCATATCTTGCCATTCCTCCAAGTGGTGCTCCTTCCTAGTCCTTACTTAAGACAGCAGTGTAGTATTTAGCAAAGCTCTGCTTTGAGAAGGGTACCAGTGGACCAGAGTTAGGGTAATCCGGTTAGCTAAACATTTTTTAGTTGTTTGCTGTAAAATATTGCAGAAGGCTCTGAAGTGTGCATCTGCCCACATTCTTGATTATGTCTTAGTTCAGCTGAAGCAGCAGGTGAAAATGTGCTTTGCTTCTTGCCTAGTATTGCAGCAGCTGGGATTTTTTTGACACCCCCCCCCCCAGTCACAGCAGATAAGTGCTTCTGCACTTATTTATACAAATGTATGTGTGAAAATACAACCAAGTTCATGCTCTTTGATTCTTCTTTGCTTACTAGTTTTGAAGCTGTCTTGTGGACCTATAGGATTTACTCATTGATGGGGAAAGAGGTCTCTCTCCTACATTATCTTTGCCTCCATAATTGGTAATTATCCTTTTGCCAGGATAGAAGGACCCAGTTCAGATGTACCCTTGTGCCCCCCCTTTCCCCCCTCCAACACCTGCACATTCTGAAGGGGCAAAGGAGTCCGTGTTCTGTCTTGCTTAACGTTCTATTTGGCTATCTAGGGAGGTGGTGAGCTCCCCCTCACTGGCAGTCTTTAAGCGGCGGCTGGACAAACACTTGTCATGGATGCTCTGGGCTGATCTTGCATTGAGCAGGGGGTTGGAATAGATGGCCTGTATGGACCCTTCTAAATATTCTATATGATTCTATTGTTAAGTCTGAAGACTGTTTTCACTTAAAATAACCATTCACATTTTCTGCATTACAAATATTTTTGCTGTCATTTTTGTACTTGAGGAATCCTTCAGGCTAAGGAAAAAGCTAATTCTCAAATGGGCCATTTATTTCCAAAGATCAACCATCTCAGTTGCTTATTGCCCTTGATGTTTCATCAACATCAAGCAGAAGTCCATCAGTGGCTATTAGCCACAAGGTATAGATAGGAACTCTCAGGCTGGGGCAAGTGATGCACTGTATTCTTAGTTCTTGGGGGGGTAACGGTGGGAGGACTTCTAGTGTCCTGGCCCCACTGCTGGACCTCCTGATGGCACCTGGTATTTTTGGCCACTGTGTGACAGAGTGTTGGACTAGATGGGCTACTGGCCTGATCCAACATTGGCTTCTCTTATGATCTCTTATGTTCTTATTTCCTCTCTGGTTCTGTCTTAAAGATATGGTGATACGTTAGATACATAAAGAAGGAAAAATAAAAAAGGCAAAGGTGTTCATATAAAATACTAAGTGCTGCCCTTTTAGTGAGGCGTTTCTTGTTTGTTTAGCTGACTAGAAGAATTCAGTGGGTACTTTTCAAATAACTAGTGATCTTTTAGTCTTTTTTCAGGTTGTTGATTATTCTGCTTTCTTATATTCCTGATTTCTTCAGCTTAGAACTGAGTGGCGTGATAAAAGAGAGGTAGATTGGTTTCAGATTGTGTTTTGATAATCCTCAAAGTCCATTTTGTACTCTGAGCCATGGACAAAACCTTTTTTTGTGCTCCAGAAGTTGTGAAAGATTCTCCCAGAGATTCTGTATCCTGTCAGAACATGAAATGATATGTCCAAACAAAACTTCTGATTAGTCAGGCAAGACAAGTTATTTGAAAACTTTATTGTTTGGGTTTCCCTCCCCCCCCCCCAGCAGTGTATTTCCCTCTGGAAAAGTACAGAATAGAAGCATTTTGAAGAATAATTCAGGTTTTTGCTTTTAGAAATCAATCATTGCAAAGGGTGCAGTATTCCTAGCAGTATATCTGACCAAAATGTCACAGTAGCTCACATATAAGATCCTGAAGCCATGATGGACATTGAGATGAGCAAATTAGAGTATTGATGGTGGTTGGGATGGGTAGTTGTCTCCCCCCCCCAATAATCTATTTACTAGTTTTTAGACAGACAAACATAAACAAGGACATGTAAATATTAAGGCACATAACAACATTCAGGTTTGGATTAATAGATTGACTATAAGTTATCCAATCAGAGATGAAGTTACTTATACATTTAGTATCATATCATATTAACCTTTTCCAATTGTATATCTAATATATATAAGGGGTGGGTAGTTGCCAAGGGTGCCCACTGCCTATTGGATTGACCCAGGAACTCAGACTCAACATGTGTAATCAAACAGTTTTGCTGTCTTGTAGAATAATTTTTGTTAAGGTGTTGGAAGAGGGTGAAGTATGAGGTGTTACCAAGGCAAAAAATATATTGTATGGTTAACGGAACCCTGACCTGGATAGCCCAGAACAGCCCGATCTTGTCAGATCTCAGCAGCTAAGCAGGGTTGGCCATGGTCAGTATTTGGATGGGAGACCACCAAGGAAGTCCAGGGTCTCATCGACGTCTAGAAATCAATTTTGATAAAGCAAGAATACTTATTTTTTCAAAGAACAAAAAGCTCAGGAACCCCTGGAAAATTGAAGGCAACTCTACTGAATTTGTTATCATTTTACATATCTTGGGGTTTAGTTTAATTATAATCTTTCATGGACCGTGCATATTAATCTGTTATTCAGAAGCTTCATTCATGGTTTTCCACCTTGACATTTTAATTTTTTTTTTTTACTCTAAGGCAGGGGTGTCAAACATAAGGCCCGTCCAGGGCTCTTATGTGGCCTGTGAGCAACTGGGAGGGAGTACTCAGGGGGAGTGAGCGGAGCCACTCCATTGTGGCTTCAGCATGGCAGAAGAACCTCATCCGCAGCAGTTAAGCATCATGGGCATATCTGCCCAATGTTGCACTTCTGGCTCTCCAGTCTGCCTATGTGGGTTTTCCTCTGCACCCCCCTCCCAGCCCATGGGGCCTTGCGGTGAGGATATACCAACTCAGAACTTACCAGCTGCTGTCCTTTATATAGTTTCTATCTCTGGTATCTGGCAATACATTTTAACACACACATGGCCCGGCCCAACAAAGTGACATTTATGTCAAATCCAGCCCTCGTAACAAATGAGTTGGACACCTCTGCTCTATGGGGACAAGATATATACCTGCCCTTCAAAAACTTTACTATGCAGCAATTTTGCCAATGATACTTTAAGCTACTGGCCCCTTGCCATTATTCAATACACCCTTGCTGACATTTTTTCCCGCAAGTATCTTGCTCTTCCTTGTTGTATCGCCTCATTGTATTGCCTTATTGGTAATTCGCCAAGAGCTTGGTCTTCCTCAAGTTCCCACTCTAGCCTGGATAGAAGTCCTTCGATTTAGAACTTGCCTTGCTGACCTGAGTTCATTACCCCATCTTTTTCGTTTAGTTATATCCTCCTACCTTATGCTCACACATGAACAGATGAAGCTGCCTGAGTCAGACCATTGGCCCTTCAAATTCAGTATTATCTACTCAGACCAGTAGCGGCTCTCCAAGGTCTCAGGCTGAGATCTTTCATATCATCTCCTACCTGATCCTTTTAACTGGAGATGCTGGGATTGAACTTGGGACTTTCTGCATGCCAAGAAGATTCTCTGCCAGTGAGCCACAACCCCTTCCCGGTTCAAGGTAGTTGATTCAAAATTAGGCTCCCTGTTTATCAAGCTAGTTTTAATAAGGAAACCCTTGCCAAATAGAATCTTTATACTTGCCCAGGAAAAGATTTTAAAAAGTGACTGAGGTTTGTTAATGCTCTCCTTTACATTATAACATTTTGTTTAAGGATGATTTTACTCGCCAGTCATATTTTTATTATTTAACGATTTTTAAATTTTAGATGAGCATATATGTTAGGGCAATGTAATGCTTTTAACTCAGCTGAAATGACGGCACAATTAAAAAATATTCCTTCAGAAAACCGTAGCTATATTTTTTGTTCTCAGCTACCGGATTGCATATTCCATACTTTTTAATATTGTTGCTATTTTTAAAAGTCCTGAGATGAATATATTACTCCCTGGACAGGACACTTGGCAAGCATTCCCAGTGTTCAGAAATTAAAGTTCTTTTTTCTTTTTAGAAGAAGAGATTGGATTTATACCCCGCCCTTCACTTGGAGTCTCAGAGCGGCTTACAAACTCCTTTCCCATCCCCTCCCCACAACAGACACCCTGTGAGGTGGGTGAGGCTGAGAGAACTCTGACACAAACTGCTCTTTCAGGAACAGCTGTGCCAGAGCTTGCGACTGACCCAAGGTCACATCAGCAGGTGCAAGTGGAGGAGTGGGGAATCAAACCCGGTTCTCTCAGATTAGAGTCCGCACACTTAACCACTACACCAAACTGGCTTTCTTTTAGCAAACTAAAGAATTGCATGGTAGAGGTTGCTCTGTTTTGCTATATAATTTCTGTACATCTGACAAACTGAGTTTATTTTAAAGATGCAAGACCTTTAAGTTGCTAAATGCAGTGAAAGGAAAATGACAAGGTTCCTTGCTTTGTAAGCACAGTCACAGCCAGGAAGATGTCTAGATAAAGGGCAAGTATGACTGTGGCACAGAAGGTGAGTAAGGGGTGATGAAACCTGCATTTTGCTTTGTTTGTTTGTTCTAGGCTGCACTCCTCGAAAGTGTGGAAGAGGTATAACAGATACCATTATCAGCAGGGTGGAAGCTGAGAGAATCCGTAGGTAAATTTCGTTTTCTGAATTTAAATTAACTTCATTAATAGTTGAGCGTTGGGGGGGTTGGCCTTTCTGGAACTTATATTTTGCTGTTTTATGTGCTTTCCACTTTCTACACAGAAAGGAGTGTGGTGATGGAGAGCATAAACTCTTTCTTTTCCCTTGCCTTATATTCTAGGACTGAATAGCTAATCCAAGTGGAATTTAGTGGAAGATTAATGACCACTTATATAAAACTGTTAATATATAAGGTATTTTGATTTTATTCTGTTTCCAAGGTAGGTCATTATTATTCCTGTTTTACCGAGGAATATGGGAAATGAGACTGAGTGAGGCTAATTAAAGACTAACCAATGACGTATGACAGATAGGAGATTTGAGACCTATATAGGCATGACTCTTTCCAAAAGTTTAATTATGGCTAAACAATTGAGAGTGTAGTCATGGAATTACATGTTTCTTTCTAGAGTACAATTTTTCAGTGCCCGCTTCAATCGCTATGTTGGCAATAGCATCAAACACAGTTAATGTTAACCAGGGTTTCTGTTGAATCAGGATTTGAGACTGGAGTTCCAGTATTCCTTAACCACAACTAAAACAGTAGAGAACTTGACTTGGCCATAAGCCCAGGTCACTCAGATTCTGTTTTTTAAATAGTCGTCGTCTCTGTTCCGGGGTGCGTGTTTGTACAGTGCAGCAATTGTAAAGTGCAGTATGTGAGAATTTTGCTGCAAATGAACATACTGGAAAGTTGCTGCATGATGTAGGATAGGTCTCCTCCCAGGCCTGGGATTTGAACCCAGCAGAGTGGTGATGGCATGATTTGTTTTCACCTAACATTGCTGTTACTTCAAACTCACTTCTTCAAAAAGTGGCTTTTCCTCATATGTGTACATTATGTGAATACTCTGGAGTAAGCAAGATATGGAAGGTTTCACTACTGTACATAGTCTCTTATTCTGCCTTATTACCTGCAGTAAAGCGATACAGCTGTTTTTACAATAACAGCTATCCCTGTTGGGTCATTCCCTAGATGGGCTCTTGCACTCTATCATAACAGCACTTGAGTGTTTCTAGATGAGCTTACCTATATGCCTCAGGCTTCTGAGCAAAGAAAAATGACAGTTACTCTGACTTTTCCAGTAACCCTGTCTAGAAATGATCAGGTTAAAGGCTAAGCTTTGTCTCATCTGGGTCCTTATTAACAAATATTCCTTCTCTTTAGTTATATTGTTATATGCATGTCCAGTGTTCTGTTTTACTCACTGTGATGTCTGTGGAAGTGGACCTTTATATTCTGTCAGCATCAACACCAGCAGTTCCCATTTACCAAGTACAGATAAACAGGAAACTGTGTCAAAACTCCATTCTGATTTAACATTGTTTGTATCCATAGAATAGCAGAGAAGGGCCTGTCCCTGGGAGGATCGGATGGAGGGGTGAGCAGTGTCCTGTTACCTTTTACATTCTTCTGGTGTCCAGGCAAGATTCTTCAGATTTTGCTTTATAATATGTTTTGGGGAGGCGAATGAGAGGGGGAGGGAGATACAAGACTCATCCTGATGCAAAAACCTCCAAGAAAAGGAATGCTTCATTCTTCTTCATCAGTGTCCCATAGTGGATTTTTCAGTCCAGACATAACAGGTTTTTTGTTATTATAGCCTAACTTCTTGGTTGTTGCAGTTTTGTTTTTTCTTGTGAGTGTTATTTCTTGAATTGCTGTCTTTATTCCATCTAGCTTTTGAATACAGTCTTTTAAAGTCCTCCTTTTGTGGTGTCTTACCTTATATTCTAATAGCAAAGTCAGCTGATCTTTGGATACTTAAATCCAGTGACTGGAGCTGTAAGACAGATCTTTCTCCAAACCTGAAAAGGGCCTCAGGTTTACAGAAAAATGTAAAATGGGGGGGATACATTGGGGGCTTTAAAAATCCAAAAAGGATAAAAGGAGCTCCTGTAGCTTTAAGCAACAGTTTAGCACTTTTTTTTCTTTTCCAGATTGAAGGTCATTCTGTTACTTTAGGAACATAAAATATGACTATGGACAATTTTACTTGGCATGAAATTATCACAACTAGCATATTAAAAATATAGTGTATCCAAACAGTTATTACAAACAGAATTTACTTTTTAAATAATATTTATTTGTAATTGTAACAAATGGAGCAAGAATCTTCTGAACTGTTTATGTGGAACAGACAAAAAACCCTCCACAAAACAATTTTTAAAAATCCAGAAGTAACAATTATTCATATTTCCTCTCCACAGTATTAAATAATTAAAAAACCATTCTCATAAAAAGAACTGAAGAGGGGGGAAGTGTATAGAAGGGAGCGTGGGACTAAGTTTCAATGAATGGGCATGAAACGTAATCAGAATCATTTCCCCTTCATTTCCCCTTCATTTCCCCAACCACCCTGCCAGGAGCCACACAATATGTATGAAAGCGCCACATGTGGCTCCCAAGTTGCAGTTTGGCCACCCATGTTTTGTAGGGCGGGATAAAAGTTGAATGAATAAATAAATATCATAAACTTCTTCCCCAAGACACCTTATTGTAGAGTGACTCAACTCTAGTTTGGAGAGGGGGGCGGAGCTTGGCGTCTGGAGATGGTGGACGCGTAGCGAACTCTCTCCCACACCCCATCCGCAAATTCTTCAATATAACCACCTCAAACTGATCCTCAAACTTCAAAATTCCAAATGGGAAAGTCAGGACTACCTAGAGCGGCGAAGAAAGTGAACAATTCGCAACAACTTACGCACTTTTTGAAGCCAGGAAAAAACTCCTCGCCGACGAGTGTAATGCCGAAACGAGACCACAAAATGGCCGACGGCAGCGACCCGGAGCCCATCGAGGACGACGGTAAAATGCTCTCACGTTTCAAGTTTCTTACAACAATTAGACACCTAGAAGCTAATATTGCTGAACAGGTGCACTCTGCTATCAGACCTCTCACTGACGAGATAAAATCGATTACAACAACTCTGGCGGAGGTAGCCCAGGCCGCGGAATCGGCCTTGGATACAGCAATTGCGTCACAAGAGGACATTAGGAATCTTCAAAAATCAGAGGACTGGGCCGTTACTAAAATAATGTCTTTAGAAAATAAATTAAGAGAGCCAAACCTTAAATTCCGAAACTTTATAGAAGGGGCAGAAGAAGGGGCAGAACTAAAAATCTTTCTAGCCTCTTGGCTTGCGGGAGTCCTAGAGCTGGAGGACAATGTGGCCCCAATAATTGATAAAGCATACCGCGTGGGCCCTCCTAACAGAAAGAACTCTAAATTCCCCCGTGATATTATCGCATCTTTTCCGGACAGCAGAACAAGAGAAAAAATCTTTAAGCTGGCTAGAGAAAAAAAGGGCCTTCGGTTTCAAAATGCAACAATTACGGTCCTCTTAGATTTATCTCCAGAAACGCTACAACACCGGCGCCAACTGCGACCGATCATACAAACCTTGATCGAAAACCGCTTTCGTTTCCGTTGGGCTTCGCCAACCGAACTCCTGGTTATTCATGAAGGCCGTCGCTTCTCTGCCACTGATTTGGACACGGTCGCAAAGCTACTTCAAGATCTCAGCCTGGAGTTTAAATTGCCTTCTACTCCCCTTTCGCGAGACGAGCGACCCTTTACCGGCGACAGTAAGTCGGGTGCAGGATGGTTTCGCAACCAGCGCTGATCGATCCTTCTGAGAGTTAAGTTTTTCATTATAACCATCTTTATGGTATCTTTGACACCCGCTGACCAGAAGCCGCCTCTGCAACTATACACCCAAAGAAGCCACTTCAAGAAACTTGATGGTGGAGAGGCTAAGGAAGACTTTGCATTTTTTTCTTTCTTCCCTATTTAGAAGTCCCAACACAACTGTTATTTTTATTTCTAAGGGTGATTTAAACCCGCATTTAAGTTTATCGTTCTGTAAATGCAGTGGAATTTTTGAATTTTAATGTTTATAATTTGGTGAACTCAACCTAATTAAGTTTTAAGTGAATTTTAATAGGTGAATCAAACCAATATAATTTCATTTATTAAAGTTCATTCTAGGCTGTTATTTCTATTTATCCATTATGCTTGGTTTTTGTAGCCATAATGATAATTTTAAGTTTATGGTGATTAACAATTCATGTTAATACCTATATGGTGACTTAACCTATTTGATTTGCACAGTTATAATAACATTATCCCTTTCAAATAGTATGTGGTGTCTTAATTTAGTTGATCTCTACAGCCATAAATACATTTTTAAGTTTATGATGATCAATAATTCATTTTAATGAAAATATATGGTGTCTTAACCTATCTAATTTGTCTAGTTATAAAAATTCCCCATTAGAATATTCCTATGGTATATATTAAGATATTTGTATAAACCTATGGTGATTTAACCTACTTATTTTATACAGTGATAGATATAGTCTATGGTAAAACTGATCTATCTAATTTGGTTAACTAATATATTCTTAGGACTTAAATCCGGCTTGCAACCGGCTTTTATATCCAGCTAGAGACTCTATTTGGTGTTTTAACCATATCAATAAGTTTTTTTTTATTTCATTTTTATATTACAACTGTAATTTTGTTATAAATTACAAAATGTTTGGATTTGTGCATTATAGTGTATTTTATACATGCTATAGATTATTTGTTATAAGAAATGTTTAATTGTTTTAATTTTTTGTTAATTTGCAACTCAATATTTTAAGCCTATTGAAGTTAACATTTTTGATAACAAAAAGTAACGTGGTGGTTTTATAATTTATTTTATTATTCCTTTTAACTAGGATGGGGTGGGGGGCTTTGTTTGTTATCTCCCCCCACATATCCAACTTTAGGTATTTTTACATCTAATCAACCCTCAAAGGCTAAGCTTGCTAGCCTTAGAGCTTAGGTCACAATGTTGTTTGTGATCAGCCACTCAGGAATTGTCCCCTGTATTTCAGGGAGTCATTATTTAAGGTTGTTGTTGTTATTGTTGTTTTTTTGCCTTTTTATGTATTTGTTGTTTAATTCTAGGAGTCCGCCTGATACTTTAGATTTTTCTGGGGAAAGCGACATTCTTATCCTAAAAGCCCGGTTTTACAGGTTAGACAATAGCAAATTTTTAAAACATATTCAACCATTGCTGCATTCACATTTAATAGCAATGGTCTCAATGACAAGATAAAGGTCAAACGTGTCTCAAATGCTTTGGCAAAACTACGCCCGGACATTTTGTTTGTCCAAGAAACTCATATTAGGAGTAAAACACAACCAATTTTTAAACATAAATGGTTTGGATCCCAAGTTCACGCTCAGGGATCTTCCTCCTCACGTGGAGTCGCCATTATATTTTCTAAGCGAACTAATTTTCAGTGTCAGGGGAAACTCATTGACCCAAAAGGGCGATATATTTTTCTAAAGGGCCAATTAAATAACACGACAATGACTTTGGGATCAATCTATGCCCCCAATAGTGGTCAGGAAATTTTTCTACAGTCAGTATTTGAGTTATTGGATTCATTTCAAGAAGGTCATACTCTTATTGGTGGAGACTTTAACCTACCTCTTAATCTATATTGGGATAAATCTTATAACCCCAACCATAAACCTAGACAAAACCCCAGCCATGTATCACAATTTCAAAAATTAATTTCGAAATTTCACTTGAATGATATTTGGCGAATTCAACATCCAGGTGTTAAGGATTATTCTTATTATTCCCCCGGCCACAACTCATTTTCTAGACTCGATTATATATTTGTATCAACTTCCCTCATTAATAAAATTGCATCCTCAGATATTGGTCTTTGGTCTATATCCGACCACGCTTGGATAGAATGTGTGTTGAGTTTAGAGAATGAGAGCAAGACTCCTAGAACCTGGACTTTCAACAACAATATTTTATTTAATCAACTTGCTTGTACAGATATAGAAAACTCAATAGTTGAATATTTTTCGCACAATTCTTCTTGTGGAGTATCAAATCCTATTGTATGGGATGCAATGAAGGCAGTTATAAGGGGCAAAATTATTGCAATCAATTCCGCCTATAATAAAGAAAAAAATAAATTAGAACAAGAAATTCAGGCCTCTATAAAACAATTAGAATGGAAGCATAAAAAATCTGGCTCTAAGAAAATTTATAAACAACTGCTTATGGAGAGGAAGAAACTGGAAGCCCTTGATATTTCAAAAATCCAGAAACAGCTTCTACTTTTAAAACAAAAATATTGGTACCGTAACCCCAAATCAATTAAATTGTTAACGTGGAAATTAAAATCCAAACGCACAAAAAATAACATCAATGCCCTAAAAGATTCTAAAGGAAACCTCCGCTATGCATCATCAGACATCCTTAAATTGTTTAAAATTTTTTATCAAGACTTATATACCTCAAGTAACCCCCCAATTGTGTCTATTTCACAATATCTACAAACCAAGGGTTATGTCAAAAC